TGTGTGTGTGTGTGTGTGTGTGTGTGTGTGTGTGTGTGTGTGTGTGTCCTACAGAGCACTTTCTTATTTTTTAAAAACTAGCTCCATGTAAAATGTAAAGAGGAAATTGCCACATTGGCAAACATGCGTACATACAAACAAAAAACATGTTACAAACATAAATATCAGAAGTTATGTAATATTTGATATGCCAACATCAACTATTTTACCCAATATGAATACGGGATTAATTGTCTCTTACACGGGTTTTAATTTGCCTAAAAGCTTAAAAGATATTGAAGTTGTTCAGTGATGATTTCCAATGTTCTACCTTCATAAACCATCAGTTTGATAGACTGCACCGTTTCTCTGATATCTCAGTTGAATGTTGTTGTTCTCTCTCTCTGTGTTTGTAGGTGATGCAGCTGCAGAAGGAGAGCGGGACGTCGGAGGAGCACAGTCTGGATAAAGAGGCCAGGAAGTGGGCGAGTCGCGTGGCCCGAGAGTACAAGAGCGTCATCCACACTCAGCGGGTGAGAACCACATCACACTGATGGAGAGAGTATCCTCCACGGGCAGTCGTCACTAAATCGAATGTGCATCTTTATTCTACACTGTTCATCATGTCTGGTGCAGTAGAAATAAGATGCTATTACTACGTTTAACAGGGAGGGTTGTGCTGCCAAGAAAAAACATCCAAATGAAGAGAGAGACATTGATGTTTGAGACTTGGACAGATGGAGTTTATAACAATTCTGTTGTTTTTCTTTGGACACTAAACTAGTGTTTTATACGCTCGAAAGAGAGAGATAAGAAACAAACACACACTAAAACCGTTAACAGTGACAGTCGGGTACTTCCTGTTGAAGTAACGTTAACTTTCAGCAGTCAACTGACTTCTTAAACGTCATGTGAATTAGAAACCTGGTTTCTAACATCTGGGTTTTGGGGTTATGGGAAATCTTTCCACAAGTAGATGTATCCTGATAAACTCCCATTTCTGAAGCAGGATCGTCTGCAGATTACTTTAGGAACTTTAGTGGTTTGTTTTTGTGCAAAATGTGATGTCTGATGGTCACAGTTTCACACATATATATGAAATAGTTTGCCGATCTGTGACTTGTGTTTAAAAACCTGTCACGCTCTAGAGTAGTGACGGGATGAAGTACTTTTGTAGACCAACCCCGGAAGATGGCATCGCTCTGAATCCATCAACAAAAAGGGATTCAGTGGATTATTGTGGAAGAGACGTTCAGGAAGATCATCTTCACAATTAAACAACACTTAATGATCTTTAAAGCGTGAATCGTCTCATTTAGACACTTAAAAAGCTTCTAAATTCACCATTAAGGGGTGATGTATTTTATATCGTAGAACAAAACATTCAAATCTCTTTTAATTTCATTCATTCAACCAAAAACACATTAAAAAAACAACAACATCGACTTCTAGTCGAGGGAACCGGAAGTGCAAACATCATTTCCAGGATTCCGGACTCATTCCTGCAGCTTTACATTAAGAAGCAAAGAACACAACCTTGTTCTTTGCTTCTATCAGGAAGTTGTCGGGCCATAAATCTGTTAATCAAATATGTAACACGTCATAATATTCTGACATCATTTCCTTGTGCGCTGGAAAAACACACCAGGAAGATAACTGTGATAGGAGAAACAATAATGTGTTATTGTGTTAAATCACATTATACAAGGCCTTTAACCTTTAATCAACCAGGAAAGCTCCTCAGATAAAACATCTAAAACACCTCAAAACATCAGCAGCCTTCAAGAGTCTGTAGAAATGATTTCAGATGTAAATGCAGAAGGTTTCTGGCAGACGGAGCAGCAGACAGAACATCTGTTTAAACCCGGCTCAGTGCCGACGTTGAGAATCTGTTTGATATTAATGACTTTGTCTCTCCATAATATTCCTTCCCTCCATAATCCCCGCTAGCAATACTGTAGATATGTTAAATATCAGTATATGAATGAATAGAGAAGAATATTCAGTCAAAAACATATATGTTTCATGTGCAATGTGAAAAGAAGTTAATATTGATGGATTATGTCCCTTCTATTTTTAGAACCCTGCTCCATGTTTTGGAACTACAGTTAACATAAATTGGAGACTTTAGTAGTAAACAAACAAATACAGTATAAAGTAAAAAAACAAAGATTTTAAGTCTTGCAAACTTTATTGATTTCCCTTTTATCTAAAGTTTGTGTTTCCCGTCTAACCTCTTTACCTGTTACGCTGTTCTTATCTCCTAGTTTTATAAAAGTCCTCCTGGAGACGGGTGCATTGACTATCATTAACTCCAAACACTATGATGATAACATCAGATAGCTGTTCTTTGTATATTGTATCGGTCACTGTCAAATAAACCATAAATATATAAATAATGCTGTAATAGAAGCCGTTAGTTAACTGCAGGCTAAACATTCAACCCTGTTTTTTGGCAATATTTGTCCCCATTAAAAGTAAGACGAATGAGCTTTGAGCAGCTCCTGGTTCACTGGATTATTATTAAAAACATGTTGGTTCTCAGGAGAGTTCTGTTCTAAAGAGAGTTCTGTGACTTTTTCTTAAATGATTTTTAAGCAGGTTTATGAACCTAAATGTACAAAATACAGTCATGAGCCTGAGAGTTATTGTGATTACATTAAAGTTATTTCTTTGTCTTTTTCTTCTGAACTGGAATCTGGCCTTTAACGTAAAGCAACACAGTAGATCTGTTTGATAATAATAAACCTGTAGATCATTAAAACCATCCACCATGTGATGAAGCAACACAACACATGATAAGACCTCCTCCTCTTCATCACGTCTCCTGAACCTTCTACTGGTTTCATTGTGAAAGTCAAAGGGTGAAGATAAGCCATCGTTTGTCCAGTAAACCAGAATCAAACCGTTTCCATTAGACAGGAAATGAGTCACTCTCTCAATCACATTCAATCAAGTAATGGTTTTATTCTTCGTTTGTTGTTAGGCTCTGGAGGGATACGGGACGCAGGAATCATCGGAGCAGAACAACTGCGAGCTGGAGACCAAGATGGAGGTGGCCAGGCAGAGTCTACGGAGGGCAGAGGTGTGTGTGTGTGTGTGTGTGTGTGTGTGTGTGTGTGTGTGTGTGTGTGTGTTTTCTCCATCAGTGTGCTGTTACTTTACGTGGCCTCAGTACTCCCCCTGCTGGTTAAAAGGATGAATCGACTCAGATTATGGTCTAAAACTGCTGCACCACTTTAGAAAGTTAATCAGCATCTATTTTGGTAATCGATTGATGTTTTCTGTTCTCTGGGGTTTTATAGACTAATCAATGAATGGAGACAATAATCATGAGATGAATCGATAATGCAGAAAGTCGTTAGTTGAAGCTGTAATGCAGTGAAGGATTAGAAGCAGTGTTGAAGTGAAGATCACCTAAAGTGAGACCAAGTCATGACCGAGACAAAAAGAAAAAGGTCCAAGAGGAGAGCGCAGTTATAAACTTTGAATATAGAATAACAGCAAAGAGAGCTGCAGGACCTAAAACCTGCAGATGAGTCAGCTTTTTGGTTTCAAAGAGTATTTTTAATAGGTTTTTGTTTAGATGCCTGAAATGAAGTCTGAGTCTAATACGATATGAAATGCGTCAGTAAAAACCTCCTCTGGTGAATTTAAAAAGCTTTTATGCGTCTTAAATAAGGCGGCAACGTTACGAGGGTCAATATAATACTAAAATTAAACTTGAATACATTTCTTGGTCATATGAATAGATGAAACGTGAGTTCTTAAAACTATTTTAACCACTTTTGTTATTCTGCAGACGGTGAAAGTGAAAGCAGAGGCCCGTCTGGACTTGCTGAGGCAGGCGGGCGTCGCGGTGGAAACGTGGCTGAAGAGCGCGATGAACCAGGTGATGGAGGAGCTGGAGAACGAACGCTGGAACAACCTCAGTACCCACGATCCCTCGCTCTCTGTAAGACCCACAGACATGCATAACGTTAACGTTGTATTTTTATTGGTAAGGATAAGAGTGACCCGGCGATGTCTGTCATGTTCCTGCAGGGGACGGCAGATTTGGAGCGAGAGGACGAGGAGGAGATGGAGGACAGCGGGGAGGTGTTGGACGACAGCAGCTCCAGCCCCTCCAGTACTTTGAAGAACTATCCCCTCACCTGCAAAGTGCTCTACTCCTACAAGGTACCAACGGAATACAAACACCTTGTGGCCTTCAGTGGAGCTGCTGTTGTCAATCATGTCTATAAACCGTCAACTCTGATCTGTTTCCGTGTTTCCAGGCGTCTCAGCCGGACGAACTGACCATCGAGGAGCAGGAGATCTTGGAGGTCATAGATGATGGAGACATGGAGGACTGGGTCAAGGTGCTCCACGTTTATATTCATGTTGTTGAAGCCGTAGACTCAGATTTCAGCGTTTTCAGCTCAACTCATTTGGGTTTTTTGACGATGTTTGGCCCCTTTTTGACTGCAGGACCTTCCCCCCCTCGGGATTTGGAACCTTATGAGGAAGTCGTTGCGTTTTGACCACTCGGATCAGGGTCTAAATTAAGTTCTGGGGATGTTTTACACTCAACTAAAGGCTCATGTCGAGTACTAAGAAAATCCTCTGGTACGCTGGGGGCGGTATAAGAGAGAGTTATTTTCAGATTGTTTCATGACTGTTACGTTCTAAAGCACAAATAAATAACAGTCAAACACTCAACAGACGCTTCATTGTGGAGACAAACGCTCTTAGTTTCATTTTCCTCTTCTGCATTTCAATTATTTCATCAGTAAAATAAATGCAGCATTAAACGTCTCTGCAGTGAGACAAAACCTCCGCTTCTGTTTACGTGAAACAGGTAAACACAGACTGCAGAGTGTGTTTACTTCTTCAAGTCTTTAGACCACCATAGAACCTTTTAGTTCCTTTTTAAAAGTGGAACTGGGACTAAAATCACCAGGAACTTCTTGGTGGAAATGCTGGTTTTAATATCAAGACCTTTTCATCCATCACAGACGTCATGAGTTTATATTTTCTGCATTTCCAGGCCAGAAACCGCGGCGGGCAGGTGGGCTACGTCCCTGAGAAATACCTGCAGCTTCCTTCCTCCAACAGCCTGCTCAGCATGCTGCAGGCTTTAGCCGCCCTTGACGCCCGATCTCACTCCTCCAGCAACTCCACCGAACCGGAAACCGAACTAGCAACCGGCTCCGTCAACGGAGACTCCAGCGGTGAGGGACGCCTCTACTTCAATAAATGCCGACAGAGATGTGTTTATATTTCAGTCATGGGTTCCTCAACCTGTCCTCCTTTTCTGTTTTCAGTGTCATTTGCGAAGGCCCTGTACGACTACGCGGGACAGACGGAGGACGAGCTGTCATTCCCCGAAGGCGCCATCATCCGCATCCTGAGCAGAGAGACGCACGAGGACGACGGCTTCTGGGAGGGAGAGTTCAACGGCGTCGTCGGAGTTTTCCCCGCGGTTCTGGTGGAGGATCTCAACGGCGGCAGCGAGAACGGAGACGGACAACGAGATGGAAGTTCACAGGTACGATGCTGCTGAGGAAAAGTCTGAGAAATGTGACGTAACACTGTCGGACACGATTTCTATTTATGTTCTCCCGCTGTGAGCTGCAAATTCATCTGAACAAAAGGAAGAGAAATATGCGTCAGAGAAATTGAAAATGCTCCATCAACACGTTTGTTTTGGTTTGTTGCAGAACAAATGTTGTGAGATTTGGTTTGTTTGTTTGCATTTAAAAATCTTTGGCTTGTATTTATCCAGCATCTCCGAATGTCTCTTAAAAATCTTGCTAAAAGTTGAAATAAAGGACTAAAAATACTTCCAATAGGAAATAATGATGTGTTTTTCTGACAAATTATGAATGGAAAAATTCAACAAACAGAATTCTGTGTGTAGTTTTATTAATTAATTAATTAATCTATATTATATATGCAAAAAATATATATAATATAATATAATATCTCTACCATCGTTTATCTTCGTTCATTAATCGAGTTGTTAACTTACAGATTGCATCTTGTGGAAATAAATAAATCTGAAGTTCTTGATTTGTTCCTGCTGAAACACAAATAAAACATCGTTGCAAAGCTGTTTGGGAAGAATAGAGATAACATTGGATATTAGAGTCAAAGGTTTTTACAGAGAGAGTTTTGGATATATCTTTGTATCACTTCATAAATCAGAAAATACTGCCAACAGCCATAAAAATATATTTAGTATGTTATATTTAAATATGCAAATGATGCATTATTTAAAGGTAACTTTTGGTGAATTTAGGAGACAAAGTAGTGAAATGAATCTTTACTTTAATCTGAAAGAAGACGTGTTGTGGAAGCAAAACAGCCCAAATTCTCTAAATTGATGAGTGCCTGACAAACAAAGCTAAAGAAAGTTGACAAGTGCTCTGATGTACTTCTGTGTGTGAATACAGACCTGGTGTTGCGTTGTGTTCGTCATCGCTGTGTAAATTCTTCCAGGCGTCCCCGTCTCCTCTGGCTCTGAGCGACCGATCCCCTCTCAGTCCCTTCCAGCCGGGTCCTCTCCACAGCAGCCCTCTTCAGACGCCCACCGTGTCCTCCCCTCTGTCCAGTCCCTGCAGCGCCACGGCGTCTCCCATTGGCCGACCGCCCTCCTATCACAACGGACATCACAGGCCGCCGCCGGCGCCGCACAAAAGCCCCTTTCAGAGTAAGAGCTCCCGGTTAAGTCTTGAGTTAAAGTCACGAGTTTGACGGAGCAGTGAAAGGTAAAGTGATGGTGATGTGCGTCTGCTGCTGTCTGCAGGTCCGGTCCAAGGCTCCGCTCAACCTCCCAAATACCCAGAGAGCAGCTCCGGCACCATCCGACCGGTGAGCCAACACTCAGTTAATCGTTACGATCGTGTAAACCAGAGAGAAGCTGCTAAATATCACATTAGAGAAGACGGAACCATCACAGATGTGTTGGGTTTGCTTTCATAGTATTCTCTGCTGGTTAAATAAATAACACTTCATCCAACATAAACATTTAATTTGGTATTTTTATCATCACTTTACTGTCTCAGTGATTTATATTCTTGTATAAGTTCATTTTAAAGTTATATTCTAAACTTCGTGGCAGTGAACTGACTTTGCTGGTGCCACAGTGTGTTTATGCTGCTTCATTCACAATAAATAAATGCAAAAAATGTTTTCGTTATGTATTATTTTTATGTGTAGTTTGTTTTATTGAAAGATGCTCAATTTACATAAGAATTACTTTCTGTAAAATACATTAACATCTCCATTTTCTGATGTTTTTGGGTCATTTTTCATGTATTTTTTGAAGATTTTTCACAACTGTTAACATTTTTTCACATTTTATACTATTATATGTTTCGGATATTTTTTCAGGCATTTTTTAACATTTTTTTCAAATATTTACTTTATATGTTTTGGATATATTTTAAGATTTTTTTATTATTTAACATATTTTAACCATTTTCAGACTTTTTTTGTAGAAGAAAAGTTTATTTATATACATGATAATGATCAACATCAACTTAAATATATACTCAAGTAAAATACAGATAATAACATATTGCTGATATTTAGTTGCCTTTGTAATTGATTGATTGATTGATTGATTGTCTTCAGGTCCGTGCTGCTCCTCCTCCTCCTAAGCAGCATCCTCGAGGGCAGGTGAAGAGGAGGGAGGAGGTGGAGATCACGCTGGTGTGACGTCGGTCGGTCAGTCGGTCGGCACCCTGGCGGCGACGACGACAACATCGACGACTCATTTCAAACCAGCCGGGTCTTCCCAGCTCTGTTGCCTCTAAACAAACTCCCAAAGGAAACCCGAGGAAACATCGGCCCCCTGAAGACGCCCGGAGGCCTCACGAGGGTCAGTGTGCTGTGGAGGAATATTGTGCCTTTTCTCTTAACCGTTCTCCATGTCGTCCGCCTCTTCTACCTGGACGTGAATCATCTTACACACCCGACAACAAGATACAGTATCTGCTGTTAACATCTTCAGATCTCAGTCCTGGTGTTCACATCCTGTTTCTTTGCTCACAGTAACTGATTTAGTGATAACTAGCAGATAATACGAGGATTCTACAATACAGTGAAGAGATAACGTGTTGATAAAGATAATAGTAAAATACAAAAGCTTCACGTTTTAGCGTGATTGCGTTTGAACCCTCAAAGACGTGATGAAATAATATTGTCTGCAACTTGTTTTTCTTGCAGATACTTATACCTTTTGAAAAGAGCCAGGCTAGCTTTTTCCCCCTGTCTCCAGTCTTTGTGCTAAGCTAAGCTAACGGGTTGTAGCTTCATATTAACCGTACACTCATGAGAGTGATATCAATCTTCTCATCGATATTAAGAGTACTTATCAACCGCTATAGTTCCATCGATCGGACGCAGCGATCAAAACCTCGAAGTCGTGAGATACAAAGTCGGAATTATAAGAAAACGTATTTTATATTTCTCCTGTGAATGCATCGCTCTACGAGTATCATTATTGATGGATTAATAATAAGGATTTAAACATATCGCCCAGTTATTCCTCACTATATCACTTACTGTGTTGCTCCTCAGAGTTTTCACGATTGGATTTCTTCTATGCAACAGCTCACAACTTCGTCATCGACGTCGCAGCATGTTGAGAACACGAAGCGTCGACACGAAACCAAAAGTCTGGTTGTCTCCACACGCTCGATCAAAAATATAAAATAATACTCCAGCTGGGCCGAGGCTGGTCCTCTCCTCCAGCACACGTAACTGTACTCGGTTACACAAACAAGGGAAAAGTGGCAATTTTATCTGAGTGATTGTTGTGTCAGTAGGGAGAATCTCCTAGAAAAGTATTCTGATCAAAATAATGGATCCTTTTATCTTTTTATTGATTCATTATAAAAACTGCTTCTTGTGTTTCCTTTGCACCGAATGCTCAGAAAACCCTAAAGGGAGAAACGTAGTGCGTACCTACGTAGTCTAACTGTTCTTTTCTCTCTCGTGTTGTAAAATAACGATCTAGAAATGTTGTTATGACACTAATGTTATACGATGGAAGACCATTTCTGACAAAATAAAAGAATCCTGTAAGTCATTGTAATGAGAAAATCTCTCAGAATAATGAGTTAGTTTCTCAACAATATTACTCAAAATGTCAAAGAAAATTGAAACTTTCTCAAAATATTGCGAATTTTCTCAAAACAATGAGATACTTTCTCAAAATAAAGACTTGGTGTCACGAAATACGTTTGTATTTAAAAATAAGTTTCTAATAACAAATCATTATTTCGAGAGTTTGTCATTATTTTGAGATGCAAAGTTGTGATAATAGAATCACAGGATCTTTTTTAATTGTTCCGTTTACCGACGGTAATGAGCTTCCATACAAGCCAGTGACGGTTGCTGGTGGTTTGTGGAGAAGGTTGCAGTTGGTGACAGTTTAAACTGATGTATGTGCAGTTTAAACTGATGTATGTGCAGTTTAGTTTAACCTGATGTATGTGCAGTTTAAACTGAGGTATGTGCAGTTTAAACTGATGTATGTG